CCTCGTTCCAGTGGGAATGGAGAGGAAAGATGATTCCTAGCGATAAAAGACTGAACATGGAAGAAAGCAAAAGAAAAAAGTCTGAGGGATGAAAGGATCGAGAGCAGCTCTGCTGAGAGGGACTTGGGGGTACTGATAGACGAAAGGCTGGACATGAGCCGGCAATGTGCGCTGGCAGCCCAGAGGGCCAGCCGTGTCCTGGGCTGTATCAGGAGAAGCGTGGCCAGCAGGTCGAGAGAGGTGATTCTGCCCCTCTACTCTGCTCTGGTGAGACCTCACCTGGAGTCCTGCGTTCAGCTCTGGAGCCCTCAGCACAAGAAGGACATGGAACTGTTGGAGCGGGTCCAAAGGAGGGCTACAAAAATGATCCAAGGGCTGGAGCACCTCTCCTATGAGGACAGGCTGAGAGAGTTGGGCTTGTTCAGCCTGGAGAAGAGAAGGCTGCGGGGAGACCTGATTGCAGCCTTTCAGTACTTAAAGGGAGCCTATAGGAAAGATGGGGACAATCTTTTTAGTAGAGACAGCAGTGACAGGACGAGGGGTAATGGTTTTAAACTAAAACAGGGTAGGTTTAGGCTAGATATAAGGAAGAAATTCTTTACAATGAGGGTGGTGAAACACTGGAACGGGTTGCCCAGAGAGGTAGTGGAGGCCCCATTCCCTGGAAACATTCAAGACCAGGTTGGACAGGGCTCTGAGCAACCTGATCTAGTTAGCGGTGTCCCTGCTCGCTGCAGGCGGGTTGGACTAGATGACCTCTAGGGGTCCCTTCCGACCCAAAACTTTCTATGATTTCTATGATAAAGCAGTCCAAGATACCTACGAGGGACTTTGAAGAGTCCATAACATTGCTAACTACAATGCTTTCCAAGGATGCTGTGAAGAGTGAAAGAAAATAGCCAAAGCAAGATGGTTTTATTCCATGTAATGCCATCTCAGATTGCTCCAGCTCTTGGCTTCTGCTCCATATATGTAACACATCTTTTAACCTCAAAATCTAATGCTTATATTTCAAAAAAGACATTAACAGGCAGCTGATATGAAAGTATGCACAAGATGAAGAAAAGTACCCGCTGTACTAGTGAAACAATCCTCTTATCCTATGGCAAGTTTAACTGTCAGGCACAGGTCACCAAACAAGGCCAGTACTACGAACTGCAGAGAGTCCCTGACTCTTTCAAACTATTCCATACCAAAAAAATAAGACACACTTTATACGTAGAAATGAAAAAGAAAAGAAGAGAGAAGAAACTACATTACATCAAGCTCTGGACTGAAAGAAAAACTTATCCCAAAAATCTAAACTGCAGCAGGGGGGTTGGAAATTAGAACCAGATCTTGCATTTGGCTTCTCTGCTTATAACAAACCAAGCCAAAAGCCCACATCCACACACACCTCTGCTCTAGGAGTTTGAAATCTGGACTCCAGTTTTGCAGACTGGCTTCCTCTGTACTCACCACTGAATGCATCACCGCTGCCAGAGAGTAACAGCACCTGACCAAGCAACACACTTTCATACAGAAACAATTAAAACACACGCACAGTAATATTCCTAATCACCCACAGTGAGCTTGAATGCAAACAGATAACAAAAAAGTAGCCACATGTGAAAGCTCAGAACCTGGTGTGTTCCAATTCCTCGATGGCTGCACTCTGGACAAAAATTTTTACATGAAAATTGCTTTTAGAAAACCTCAATCCAGGAAACGTATGAAATCTTGTCTTGCTGCACTGGTCTTGTTTTGCCAAAGATATTCCCAGACCTAACAAGAACAAGCTTTTCCAAGCTGTTCTTAATTTCATTCACATTTATAAAATCAGCTTAGACTTTGCAGCATCTCTGTTTTTCCTCTAATGCTTAACGCGTAGGCTTGCTCTACATCCTCAAGTCAACGATAGCAGAGGAGAATCTGTTCCTGCACGAGGCAGCCTAGAGATTGCTCTCAATAGGAGGTATTCGAGGAATTCTGTAGGTTGCTTATGCTCAGTTCAAATTCCCAGAAAGGCTGTTTCATAACACGTCCTGGAAGCAGGAGAAAGAAAGTTTAGTTGTATTTAAAGCCCGAATCCTCCAACAGCAGGAGCACTGTGGAAATCATAGAAAACATAGACTCTCTCCTCATTCTTTTGAAGAAAAGTATCTATATTCCAATGCTTCAGCTACAATCTCTTGAAGCAAGACCAACTATGAGCTGAACATATTAAGGTGTTGAATCTGCTACTGAGAAGCTGAAAACAAAACAGGCGTAACGCTGGAGGACATATTAATGCCATCACAGGACATCAGCCTCCATTTATGCAACCTTAAAAGCTCTTATGACACACACATTATGACTTTTATTAGGCTCTTCCTCAAGATAGCCTTGTCTTAACCAGGGTTTTTAAGACACTAACACTGATAATGACAAATACGCGGCCAAGATCTGCAAGATGTGAATTAATAAACATTACATGCTTTTGAAATGCAGTAGTTAGCTGTCAGCCACAATTCCTCAGATCCCCTTCCCAATTCAAAACAGAGCCCTCTTCAGGCACACACAAAGGCTGTAGCAAAACAGATAATCCAAGATTCTATAAAGCACCCTCAACCATCACACTTCACTGTCAAATGCTGTACTTCCCTGGGCTGTTTATCGTACTTTAAGGATAATGTACCTAGTACAACCTAATTTTAGCATGCAAACACCACAAAGATATCCATTTAGTGGCCATTATCCTGAATTTGGAACACAGCAAGCCTGATTCAGACTCCCAGAATTGCTTCTCGGAGACTGATTTTGTTTATTCATCCTCTTTTTCAGGCACATGGATCTTCACTTACCAATGCAGGCATGGACTCTCACTGACAGCTGGGTCCTCAGAATAATACTGTGCTTCTTGCCCCTCCTAAAAAGAGAAGAGAAGAAAAATATATAAAGGTGTAGGGAGTGAAGGAGGGAAGTTGAGCCTAGGAGAAAAGCATGGGGGAAGGTGTTGTGGGTTTTGTCTTTGCTTTTCACCATCCAGCTCTATTTTAATTTAACAATGGTAACTGGTAAGCAACCTCCCCACCTTTATCTCAGTCAATGAGTTTTTTCATCTTATTTTCCCTGCCCTCTACTGAGGACAGGGAGTGAGGGAGCAGCTGGGTGGGCACTAACTGGCAGGCAGCCAAGGTCAATGCACCACGACGACTCTCTAGAAATGCATATTAGAGAAGTACCAAGTGATGACTGCACGTTTTGATTTTCAGAGAAATATTCTAAAGCTAGGCATAGCTAAGTACAAAAAGAAAATGCAAGGTCAAACAAGAAGTTGCTTACACTTTCACAAATCTGCTTGTGTACCCTAAGAGGTCTTGAAAGCACAAAGAAAGATCTGTTTTTCACACAATGAGGCAAAACTGAGTTCTCCTTCACTCTGTTTGCCAAGACCCACCCCAGGGCAGTCTCATCTAGGACTTGAGGGTGCTAGTCGATGAGAAACTCAACATGACATGGCAATGTGCACTCACAGCCCAGAAAGCCAACCACATCCTGGACTGCAGCAAAAGCAGCATGGCCAGCATGTTGAGGGAGGCGATTCTGCCCCTCTACTCTGCTCTGGTGAGACCCCACCTGGAGTCTGTGTCCAGCTCTGGAGACCTCAGCACAGGAAAGACATGGAGCTGTTAGAGCGGGGCCAGAGGAGGACCACAAACACGATCTGAGGGCTGGAGCACCTCTGCTATGAGGACAGGCTGAGAGAGTTGAGGCTGTTCAGCCTGGAGAAGAGAAGGCTCCGGGGAGACCTTACGGCAGCCTTCCAGTACTCAAAGGGGGCTTATAAGACAGATGGGGACAGGCTTGTTAGCAACAGGCTGTTGCAATAGGACAAGGGGTAATGTTTTTAAATGAAAAGAGGGTAGATTTAGACTGGATATCAGGAAGAAATTTTTTATTGTGAGGGTGGTGAGGCACTGGAACAGGTTGCCCAGGGAAGCTGTGGATGCCCCCTCCCTGGAAGCATTCAAGGCCAGCTTGGACGGGGCTTTGAGCAACCTGGTCTGGTGGAAGGTGTCGCTACCCACTGCAGCGAGCTCGGAATCAGATGATCTATAAGGCCCCTTCCAACCCAAACCATTCCATGATTCTATGATCTACAAGGGCACACCACAGAGGCAAAAACAACTCTGAGGTGTTGTGACCCTTCATATATGCTTGTCATTCCTCATTTCACTGAAACCTCTGGAAATGGGAAATCACTTTCCTAAATTCTTTGGGTTAGATGTTCTCTTCCATGGAGCTGTCTGCAGCTGCCAGACTGCAGTTGTACCCTTAGCAAATTAACGCAGCGTGCAATCAACAGACTAGCTAACCGTTTCATTGGATCTCAAGGATTCAAAGCTGCTGGAAATCTAAAGCACCCATCCTCAAAGGCAACATCTCACATTCAGGCCCCAAGACAGTCATGCAATTAAATTTCTCCTTCTACACACAGCCTCCAATGCATGAGTAAGTCCATTGACCTTGACAGAACTGCTCATAGACTATATATATAATTCAAGGTATGGTTTTCCAAGCAAGGAAAACCAAACTATTTCAAACGCAGCTAAGTGTGCAGCACCTTCACTTCCTAGTCCATAATTCATTTTACTATCAATGCCTAAAAGTTTAGTAAAGAAAAGAGGAGGAGAAGGGAACCAGTTTACCTAATAGATGCCTTTCATAAAATGAAGCAAAAAACCCACAACTACTACTCAGAAAAAACTGGAACATTAAATTTCAGACAAATTTCTTCACACCACCAACTGAAACCCCATTCTCCAGAAACACTGATAAAGACATTCAAAACTAGAGAAATTCAGTGAGGAAGAAGTTATTTGCAGCAAAAGAAATAGTGCAAGTCAGGAGAAGAGTCAGTCAGTGACACAGGAGAGAGGTTCGAGGAATTAGACTGAGCCAAGAACAAAACAACGTGGGAGAACCAGTGAGTCCTCCAGAGCTTTACTTCCTTTACACTGAGCAAAAGGCTCTATCTGTAGTTTGGGGTGAATTTGCCAGTCCAGGCACTACATTTACTTGAAAAATCCTACTAAATGTCAAGGAAATCTAATGCAACACAGGTCAGAACTTTAAAACTCACTCACACTGCAGTTCAGTTTTTCTTTTATGATCCTTTCATGATTATACCAAAAGTCCATCCATTGATTTAAAACTAACATGAAGCTTATTTTTAATATTATTCCTGTTGCTGTATACAATTCTTTGTTAGTGTGTAGGTTCTCCTAATCAAAATCAAAGGCTGATTGATGCTTTTGAGGTAGCCAAAGGAAACTTGATCCTTTTTCCAGAAAGAATCATTAACTAACAGTAAATAACAAAGGCAGGAGATAGAAAATCCAAAGAGACTATGTTTGCTGTAACAATTACATATATAAACCAGTATCAGTTTTTGCAAATAACATAACAGTGAAGGTAGCATTATGTATGAGATCTCAAGGTCTGTGCATGGAAGCTTCATCTAACACACTTATTTACCTTCCACCAACACTGTGGCATAGCAGCCTGATACTATAGGGCAGTAACCACGTAATTGCCTCAGTGTGATGTTGTACTTCCAAGTATCTGCTATGAGATTTTATACAGCTGACATGTTTCTAAATCAAAATAATTTTGTTAGATATGTTCTTGACATACCTTTAATCATTTAGTAAGAGTAGTAATACTTACACTGAGCAAGCATGAAGGATAGGAGTTTGAGATCTTTCAGTCAGAAGTAAATCTGTTTGCATTCCTTTCCCCCTCCTTGTGTAGGTAAGAAGTATGAAGGAAGTGTGGCCAGTGTTTTGCTTTTTCCTCTCCAAGACTTAGGTCAGAAGACCAGTTAAGCCAATAGTACAAAGCCCATCTCTTTCTCTTTTACAGACTGACTACGAGCAAGCAAACTAATTTCCAATTCCTGGTATCGCAGAGAGCGCATTAAGGGTAGAATTAACCCTGCCATGTATTCAGGAAAGCTTAAAAACATACGGAATACGTAAAAAGTTGACACCCCTGTAGAGACACAGGAAGTGTGGGCTGGATGAGTGGTTGGTGAGGTGGATTGAGAACTGGCTGAATGGCAGAGCTCAGAGGGTTGTCATCAGCGGCGCTGAGTCTTGTTGGAGGCTGGTAACTAGTGGTGTCCCTCAGGGGTCAGTACTGGGCCCATTCTGGTTCAACTTCATCAATGACCTGGATGAAGAGTTAGAATGTACCCTCAACAAGTTTGCTGATGACACCAAACTGGGAGGAGTGGCAGATACACCGGAAGGCTGTGCTGCCATTCAGCAAGACCTGGATAGGCTGGAAAGCTGGGCAGAGAGGAATCTGATGAGGTTGAGTGTGGCCAGCAGGTCGAGGGAGGTTCTCCTTCCCCTCTACACTGCCCTGGTGAGGCCCCATCTGGAGTACTGTGTCCAGTTCTGGGCTCCCCAGTTCAAGAAAGATGAGGAGCTACTGGAGAGAGTCCAGCAGAGGGCTACAAGGATGATGAGGAGACTGGAACATCTCCCCTACGAGGAGAGGCTGAGGGAGCTGGGCTTGTTCAGCCTGTAGAAGAGAAGGCTGCGAGGGGACCTAATATGTACTTACAAATATCTGAAGGGTGGGTGTCAGGAGGATGGGGCCAAGCTCTTTTCAGTGGTGCCCAATGACAGGACAAGGGGCAATGGGCACAAACTGAGGCACAGGAAGTTCTGTCTGAACATGAGGAAGAACTTCTTCCCTCTGAGGGTGACGGAGCACTGGGACAGGTTGCCCAGGCAGGGTGTGGAGTCTCCTTCTCTGGAGATATTCAAGACCTGCCTGGACAAGGTCCTGTGCAGCCTGCTGTAGGTGACCCTGCTTCGGCAGGAGGGTTGGACTAGATGACCCACAGAGGTCCCTTCCAAACCCTACCATTCTGTGATTCTGCAATCCCTTTTAAATTTAGTAACATTGAAAATGTCTTCAGACTTGGCCAGCACTTAAAGCCCCCTGACAACTTATCCTGTAACAATTCTGCATCTACTTCTGCTTGATGTAACAACCTAACTGTTACGGAAACCTAAAACAGAAGCTGCACTTGGTGGAAAGCTTTCAAAGCACAGACGCCTAACACATTCTTGACATTTTGCTAGAGCCTCTCATAGCACTCGGGTTTCCTGGTGGACCATCAACCTTCTCCAGTCATCACATCCATGTGTTTCATGAGGAGCAGCTTAATGAGAACAACATCACGCAACAACCCCTAAGCTCAAGCAGGAGCAACTGATTCCCACGAGAAAAGCCTGGACAATGGCATGCCACCAGAAGCAAATGCAACACACATGCTCTAAAGCACATTATTTTAGTAAATGCCTTTCAAATTTTCATTGCAGCACCTATGCATTGCCATCTTCCCTTGCACACACCTTTCAGGGAGTAGAAAATGTTTTTGTGATGGGGTACTGCCTCACAGTCTGTCGCTTCACAGTTTAAGGTACTCCACATCAGCACTGGAAAACAAACTATTCCTTGTTGAATGCATAAGGGATCAATTTTTTGCCAGAGTTCAAGTACTCGAGCCTATCAGGTTTTCCTGAAAAAGATCTGTAAGCCAGCACACACACAATCAGGAAAGTTTTTCTTAACCTGCTATTAATCAGACAGCATAAATCCCAGGCTTTGATTTCAAATCTATTAAGACACAATTTAACTGCAGTTTCAATGTGATATGCTTCTCCATCCAGCTGCAGACTCGAGATGCAAAAAAAAATTCTGACACACAGAAAAAAAAAAAATGTATAAAAGCCAAGTCTTTTCAGAGAAAGCGAGGGCACACACATGCATGGAGAGAGGAATTAAGAATCTCTCTGAAAGTCATCTGACAATCTTATCCAAACAAATAACCTTTTTGAAGTTCTT